CATAGGGTCGCTGTGAGTTGGTACCAACTCGATCGCACCTAACAACAACAACATGAGTGGAACTGACTCCACAGCACTTACAACAGCAGCAACATATATTTTTCTTGTTCTACTATCACACTCTTTAGTTTATTTAAATTATATTTGTTGTTGTTAAGTGCCATCAAGTCATTCTGACTCATAGTGACCCTTTATAGGGTTTCCAAGGAACAACTGGTACTTAACCTACATTGCCACACCAGGACGCCATTTTAATTATACATTTGTTATTGTTAAGTGCCGTGGAGTCAGTGCCAACTCATAGCAACACTATTTAGAGTTTCTGAGGAGCAGCTGATGAGTTTGAACCCTGAACTTGTGGTTCAAACCAACTTTGCAGTCCACTGCTTTATCCTACAACACCACATCAAAAAGTAAAGTTACCAATCATGCAAAAACCAAAAAGTCATTTCTTAAAGGTCTTTCTCAAATGAAATAAAAAATTGAAGCTTTGCTTAAATTAAATGTACAATAAGTCTAGTTAACAACATTTTGCTTCTTACCTTTCCCTTGTCTTTCCATAAGCTGATTCTAGTTGTTACATATATGTTCTACCAATACCAACAAGTTTTGTTCTTGCCCTCTTATCCCTGAATCCTTGAGTAATGTGACTTCCGAAATGGTTTAAGAAGATGGAGAGAGCTGTCATTTATATAATTAACATCATGAAATATTTGTTACTGATTTTCTTATGAATTTTGTTTCCCTCTCATGTTTGTTACCCATTCAGGCTGTCCTGACAACAGCTCTTGCTCAGGATGTGAGAGTCCCCTGGGTGGATTTCAGGGCTGTCTCAGGCTCCTCTCCATTGGCGAGAAAGCAGTGGATCTCATCTCAGTACAGCAGGGGGCACTGGGGAGTTTCAGTGACCTCCAGATAGACTCCTGCAGCATTACAGACAGGTACTGACAAACTTATGTCATTTAGATGTGTCTGCTTTCATTGTTCTGATTGTAGATTAGAAACAAATGAACAACTAGGCCAGAGAACATTCTTCTTTCTCCTTCTCTTCCTGTTATCTATTTTATAT